ACAGCCGCTGACGTGAAATATTTATACGTAAAATGTTTACTTGGGGAATATGAAAGTCAACTTTAAAGTGGATCGGTCGACTGTGCAGGACTTCCAAAAGGGGATGAGGTGGCTGCCATCTTTTTTCACGGAACTACAGAACTGTTATAGAAGAAATGATGGAAGATATGGTTAGCTGACATTTTCGTAATGCCGGACAGGTCCCAGTACTTCCGTCATATCAATTGAGATGCGAATAGATTGAAGCAGTGATGTTTCCGGCTGGCCTACTCTTCACCGGATCGGTCGAAATTCCGACGATATCGTGGCCTCGTCAAGAATGACAAGATAAACCACAACTCTACGCAGTGCGTGTACTAGCGACCTTCGCGGGAATTTTTCGGCGTGTTGGGAAATGTACACGATATATTTACCTCAATATCTATCTTTCCTTCCTCATCCATCACGTCCTGTTGGCAAGGCAAGGTCGAAGTGGCCGGGGTTAGTGTGAACGCAGCGACTGATCGCGTACCACCTACGACTCATCTACGCGTGCCACAGTCGTGCTGCCGGACTTGGAGGAGGGGTGATCTGGCTAGCATTAGTGGCAAAGCCCCAGGCGCTCCATTATACGGAGTCCTTGAAGCCTGATCCTACAGTTGTTGGGCCAACTCATGAAATGTCAAACAAAACTCTGAAATACGTTTTCGTCTCGAAAAGATTAATTAGGTAGGTTTGTAAAGCTAATCATCATGCAGCATAATTCTATGGTAATTCAGTTGCCTCCAAAAACCGGCTTTCTAATGAAATTCATTCCGACTACATGCAAAAATATACTCTACAGTTTTCTTACTAATTTTCGATTTCCTTGGAAATTTAATTATATTTCATAGAAAACATGCCTAAAATGTTCATTCTTTTGCTCATTCGGTGGAAAGTGACGTCTTTTTCCACATTTATGCTCAAAGAAGGGATAAAATTTGGTTTGACAAAAGTTCCTATTTGTAGGATTTTTAATACCATGAAATGGACGTTCATAAAACGTCCTGTTGCTGCGTTTACCGATGTGGCTTGTAAAGTTAACAATATAGCCCAAATCCACTGCTAAATTTTAGGAACCCCATATGGTCTTCTCTTAATACCGTAGAGAAATGCATGGTTTTCCGTACGCGGAAATTATACGGCTTGTAGTTTGGAAACCCTGAATGCAAGTGTAACGGCAGGTCGGGTTCAAAACTATTGGGGAATTGGAAAAGTTTTTTTAAACTGGATTATACCCTTCTTTCACGTACATAGTTGGAAAAAGACGTCATTTTCTGCCGAATGAGCAAAAGAATGAACATTTTTATGCATGTGTTCTATGAAATGTGAGTAAATGTTTAAGGGCATCGACAATCAATTAGAAAAGTGAATGCTTCATAAGTAGCCATTTTTACAGAGTATGGACTTTCAGTGCAGTCTAAAAGAAGTGTATTCCAAAGTCGGTGTCCTAAGAAAACTGAATTATTACAGAGTAATGTTGTACGATGATTTTTTACAACCCTACTTAATCAATCTTTTCGAAACTAAAACGCATTTCGGAATTTCGGTTGACGTTTCATGAGTTAGCCCATTTACTGTAAGTCCCGAACAAGGTCGTGGTTACCTCCCGGTCATGACAGTTTCAAATCACGTTGGGTTGTTTGTAGGGGGGGGGTCAGTAAACATTTGATTCGAGCTATGGTGACTTCTCTTACTCATTCCGAGTCAAGCAGACCGAAAGTGAAATCAAACCACTGCAGTCGTTTGACTAAACATCGGTAGAACCACCTATAATTTTGAAATGCCAAAAAAATAATATTAATAGCCGATGTGATTTTTGAAATTAGCTTGGATTCTTATGGCCATTGAGTCATGTTTGTCAGAAGCTGTGCATAGAGCATTGGTTTACCAGACGCACTTTTTAGGAAATGAAGCCTTCTACAAAATTAAATCTTTGGAGAATTAATCACGTCTTTTTTAAATAGATATAGCCATAAGAACTCATTGATACAAACAAATTTTGCGACAGCATATCAACTGCAACCCGTCACCAAATAACACTGATAGGGAATAAATAGCGGGCTACATACGGCGGGTGAAGCCCGACTCATGGAGGCAGCTAGACCACGTGGTCACCCCAAACCTTCAGTCCGTAGATTTACACATCCCTCTTGTGTTGACAATAGAAAAACCCCTCCTGTTTGTTAAATTCTCCCTTTTTTCTTTCTTAGATGGCGTTGCTAAGTTACCATTTTCACCAATTAGTCTGTATGCACTTCACAATGACCTTGCTATTTCGCAATGTTTCTTTCCGTGTGAATAGAAATTGCTGTATGCTTCATATTCGTTGTGTGTTATGCGATTACAAGTTGAAGTTAATAAAGTCTGCTGCAATGGCCCGTTTTTTAATTAATACCGAGTAAAAATTGCTTAAAATTATATCTCTTTTGGTTTCAGTCAGTGACTTCACAAAAAGGGTGGCTTTATAATTGTGGGACAATTACAGTAGGTGGGCTTACTCATGAAATATCAACCGAAATTCCGAGATGCGTCTTCGTTTCGAAAAGGTTAATTAAGTGAAGTTGTAAAACTAGTCTGCAAAATAATTCTTTTATTATTCAGTTATCTCAGAATACCGGCTTTCGAATGAACTTCTTTCCAGCTGCACGCAGAAACAAACTTTGCAAAAAAGACTACTTAAGTGGCATGCATTTTGTCATTGATTTCCAATGCCCCTTAAAATTCAATTATATTTCAACAATCATGCATAAAAATATTTATTCTTTTGTTTATTCGATAGGAAATGACGTCTTCTTCCTATTGTACTTTATGCATTGAAAGTCAATGAGAAAAATGCATGCCATATAAGTAGACACTTTTTTGCAATATATAGTTTCTGGATGCAGCTGGAAAGAAATTTATTCAAAAGCCGGCATCTTGAGGTAACCGAACAATTAAAGAATTATGTTGCTGGCTAACTAGTTTTACAACCCTACTTAATGTATCTTTTCGAAACTTAAACGCATTTCGAAATTTCGGTTGACGTTTCATGAGTTAGCCCACTTACTGTAAGTCCCGAACAAGGTCGTGGTTACCTCCCGGTCATGACAGTTTCAAATCACGTTGGGTTGTTTGTAGGGGGGGTCGAGCTATGGCGACTTCTCTTACTCATTCCAAGTCAAGCAGACCGAAAGTGAAATCGAACCACTGCAGTCGTTTGACTAAACGTCGTTATAACCACCTTCGATTTTGAAATGCCAAAAATAATATTTATAGACGATGCGATTTTTGGAATTAGCTTGGATTTTTATGGCCATTGAGTCGTGTTTATCAGGAGCTGTGCATAGAACATTGGTTTACTAGACGCACTTTTTAGGAAATGAAGCCTTCTACAAAATTAAATCTTTAGAGAATTAATCACGTTTTTTTAAATAGATATACCCATTAGAACTCATTGATACCAACAAATTTTGCGACAGCATATCAATTGCATTTTGTCGCCGAATAACACTGATAGCGAATAAATAGCGAACTACATACGGCGGCTGAAGCCCGACTCATGGAGGCAGCTAGACCACGTGGTCACCCCAAACCTGCCTGGTAACCTTTAGTCCGTAGATCTACACATCCCTCTTGTGTTGACAATAGAAAAAACCCCTCCTGTTTGTTAAATTCTCCCTTTTTTCTTTCTTAGATGGCGTTGCTAAGTTACCATTTTCACCAATTAGTCTGTATGCACTTCACAATGACCTTACTATTTCGCATTGTTTTTTTCTGTGTGAGTACAAATTGCTGTATGCTTCCTATTCGTCATGTGTGTTATGCGATTATGAGTTGCAGGTAATAAAGTCTGCTGCATTGGCCCGTTTTTAATTCATACCGAGTAAAAGTTGCTTAAACTTATATCTCTTTTGGTTTCAGTCAGTGACTTCACAAAAAGGGTGGCTTTATAATTGTGGGACAATTACAGTAGGTGGGCTTACTCATGAAATATCAACCGAAATTCCGAAATGCGTTTTCGTTTCGAAAAGATTAATTAAGTGGAGTTGTAAAACTAGTTAGTCTGCAAAATAATTCTTTAATTATTCAGTTACCTCAGAATACCGGCTTTCGAATGAACTTCTTTCCAGCTGCACGCAGAAACAAACTTTGCAAAAAAGACTACTTAAGTGGCATCCATTTTGTCATTGATTTCCAATGCCCCTTAAAATTCAATTATATTTCAACAAGCATGCATAAAAATATTTATTCTTTTGTTTATTCGATAGGAAATGACGTCTTCTTCCTATTGTACTTTATGCATTGAAAATCAATGAGAAAAATGCATGCCATATAAGTAGAAACATTTTTGCAATGTATAGTTCCTGGATGCAGGTGGAAAGAAATTTATTCATAAGCCGGCATCTTGAGGTAACCGAACAATTAAAGAATTATGTTGCAGGCTAACTAGTTTTACAACCCTGCCTAATTAATCTTTTCGAAACGAAAACGCATTTCAAAATTTCGGTTAACATTTCATGAGTTAGCTCACCTACTGTATGTTTTAGCCATTTCAATGACATAATATCATATGAAATCCTTTTGCGATAAAGCAACCTGGGCACTAAAGTTATTACCATTGGCCCTATACTGCAACAAATCCGATCAATTATACAGCTCCTGTTTGCTGAATGACACTAATGATTACTCGACTTTTCATCCGTGACATTCATCCCGTTCAGTGGTGCGGACCACGACAACCTTGTGTGGGAAGAAAAGGAGAGTAATGACGTATGCAAAAATTACGCGATATTTACCTCTCTCCTTCGGCGCGCAAATAGTGCTGATCGAGGTCGAACATCGGGTGCTGATGGAACCTTCCGAGTAATTTCCCGAGTACAGTACCTTTGCTGTAGAACACCATGTCACAGTATCTTGACTATGGCTAAATTGGGAGTCTCACAAATACAATGGCACCTAATTCGCGCGGAGAGAAATATCACGCATGCGATGGAATTAACATGACTTGGCATGACCCAGCCTCTATTGACCTTGACGCCTGCGGTAGGTATCAGTTGGATCAGGCTTAACCATGAGGACTGAAGACGGAAGTGATCGCCGTTGCTGACTTGATCCCTATATGCACGGAAGGCACCTCTCATTGTCGAAAATTCCCAACAAAGTCCACATCATGAAGGAACCAGTGTATCCTGACCTCCCCGATTTGAGCAAAGTCAATATATCGATCAATTTAATGGCTTTTCAAACCAGGCACTTAATGATGTACCACGTTTTGCATACTACGGAAGTGAACGCTGAATAGGTGGCAGGTTTGTCAGTATCCGATAGGTCGACAATGAGAGGTCGCTCAAATGAGTAGTCGGGAAGTCGTACACGACGGGGATATCCCTTAATGTGGTAGACTGGCGCTCATCGATCGCGCTGCTGAACTTAATCGTCCAGTTGTGCCCTGGGGCTCTCTCACTCGATCCCCGGCAGCAGCCGTCCAAACATTCTGCATAAATCCTTACTATGGCCAAAAGGACAACGCTGATTGGCCTTTTGCTCGCCCGAGGCAAGTCTCGTGTAGTTCCAATATCGACAGCGAGAAAGAAGCCCATACAAAGACAGCGTGACAATGAAACGACGATCTAAGCAGACTGCCACTCTGCTGCTTGGGTAGCAGTCCAGCGTTGTTTGCGTCTTCGATAAAAAATTATATTCTAGATGTAGCTTTGATATATTGAGTAGTGATCGAATTCCAAGCACTGTTTGTCGTTCGACAGTTGCCTTGATAGAAGTCGCAGACACAATGTTTATTTTACATTTTTCATAGGAGAGCAACAGTTACATGTATCAATTTCTGTAGACTTTGATGGCATTTCTTCTCTGTACATATCGCTGGTCGCTACGCGACTGCTTTCGAGGTATGTGATTGAGTCCCAATGCACAACGGGATGAGCGGTTCCCGTAACCTGATCGGTGAAAGCACTCTCCACGTTATTACATACAGCAGGTGGGCTAACTCATGAAATGTCAACCGAAATTCCGAAATACGTTTTCATTTGGAAGAGATTAATTAAGTTGGGTTGTAAAACTAATCATTGAAAAGCATAATTCTATAATATTTCAGTTACCTCAGGATGCGAGCTTTCAAATAAACCTCTTTCCAGCTGCATGCAAAAACTACACTCTGTAAATAATAAATACATAAGTAGCAGGAATTTTTCTCAATGATTCTCGGTGCCCTCACCAATCCAATTATATTTCATGGAAAAAACGAATAAAAATATTCATTTCTTTGCTCAGTCGGTAGGAGATTACGTCTTCTTCTAATTTTATGCTCGAAGGAGGGACATAATTCAGTTTTAAAAGAGTTTCTAATTGTGGGACTTTTAGATACCTTGAAATGGCCGTTCATACATCGTCATGTCTCTGCATTTACCAAAGTGTCCCGTAAAATTTAAGAGTGAAGACTAAATCCACTGCTAAATTTTATGAACCCTATATGGTCCTTCTTTATTACCGTGGCGAAATGTGTGGATTTCCGTACGCAGAAAATTTTCGACCTGTAGTTTCGAAACCCTGAACCCAAGTGTAATGGTAGAGCGGGATCAAAATTATTCGGGAATGGGAAAAGTTTTTGAAGACCGAAATCTACCTTTCCTTCGAGTATAACATTAGGAGAAGGCGTGATTATCTACCGACTGAGTGGAAGAATGAATATTTTTATGCATGTTTTCCATGAAATATAATTAAATTTTGAGGAGCATCGAAAATCAATGCGAAAAATCTGTGCTTCATAAGTAGTCATTTTTAAAGAGTGTAGGTTTTGCATGCAGCCGGAGGAAAGTTCATTCGAAAGCCGATATCCTGATGTAACTTAATTTCTAGAGAATTATGTTGCAGGCTGACTCGTTTTACAACCCTACTTAATTAATCTTTTCTAAACGAAAACGCTTTACGGAATTTCGATTGACATTTCATAAGTTAGCCTACTTACTGTAGTCAGAGCCTGTACGCACCATTGCCCAGGTAGCTGAAAAGTATTGTCCTTCTCACGCAGTCACTGCAATGTCGAGGGTCCTGATGTTTATGCCATAGTTAGCCGCCCATCAGAACAGTAACGGTTTAACAACTGACTGTTGATTGCTCACCTATGCCCCTCCTCCGCCAGACTTGGTTTAAAGTGCTCTTATTTGCCTACGCAAGTAAACAGTTCTTAGTAAAAACTATTTAATTTGCACTTTTCGTCTCACTAAAATGATATGTGCCCGTCAGTGACTGACTCCAATAATAGACTTTGCGACTGAGGCGTCTTGGTCAGTATAACCAGTCTGTCGATGATTTCGCCTTATTTCCCCTGTTTGTCTTCTTTTATTAGATGATATCAATTTTTCGGGCAAGCAAGCATGATTTCTACCTTCATTTGTTGTTCCTACTTCAACTTGCCTCCAAAAACACTGTTACGAGAATTTCACACTGAAGTGGTGCACATTGAAGAAGCGATGTCGCGATATTTCCCGGATAGTCTCTTTGTAGAGGAAACTCTTACTGCAAGTGCCGAGAGCCGTTGATGTTAACGAGGAAAAATGCACGTGATCAGAATGTACAGATATGGAGGGGCGGAACAAAGGAAAACAAGTTCTCCCAGGAGACGAGTGAGTTTTGTAAGAACGGTCGGTGAGCGTCCCTTTACCGTTGTGCATTCCAGATCAAAACCGACAGGATAACGAGCCCCTGGCTTAGTGGTTAGAGGCGTTGGACTTTTACCTAACAGGTCGCGAGTTCGAACCCCAGTTTTTCCGCACTTCAGGGTTGGGTATGACTGGCTAACGACGGTCAATAATCCAGAAATGTCCATTCCATTTTCCCTTGTCTTTGTCGGTAATAACATTCTGTCTACTAATATTCTCCCACTTTTGTGAGTTAAGCGGACGACTCTACTGTAATTTGGCGTTTCGTGAAATTTTAGAGTCAGTTTATCACTGAAGCAAAAGAATGTTAATGGAAGAAGTGCCAAATCTCACTGGTAGATCCACAAAACACTGTGGTTGACTAGCACAATTATCGCCGGGAAGTCTGTTCTGAAATTGTATATACCACTAGAACACCCGAAAACCCAGTATAAATCGATGAGGCCAAATTTACAGGGCTATCCGTATGTACAGCAGTGGCCGTCTTTTATGTGAGATGTGTCTGCCGAAAAAATCGATGGCGGTGCACTAGAGAATTATCGAAATTATCATTTATAATCTTTGGGTCTTTGGATTGTGTCAGTGTACGGATTTTAGGTAATTTTCTGTACACAAGCGAGATGCAGTGAAGTTGCTTCCTAGAATTGAACGCTAAGTAGAAGCCGGTTCAACAATACATTCTGACGAATGACCAGTCTGTCTGCGAAGTAATCAGGCTGGGAACGATCACAAAACCCTGAATATGCAGGATAAATTATCTCAAAAATTAACTGCGAACTTGGATTAGATCAGTATATTCGAGGGTCTATAGACGCAGACCCCAGTAGTTACTGGTCAGAGTGGCAAACGCAGATTTAAATATTTCGTCTGTATTGTGAAAATTAGATTCAAATTAAATAACAGAAATTAATTAATAAATACTTCTTTAATATTGCATGGAATTGTTACGAAGTTGTTTTCATTTCTTTTCAAAAGACATTAACACTCTTCATCTAAGTGCCCCTGAAGCAAATGCTGTGGAGCTCCAGGATTTTTCTTCAAAATCTCAGTCTTACTGTCTAACCAAGTCCTCGTGCTCCGCTGGGTGTACAAAAAAGTATTCGGATCCACGTAATTTTACTTTTAGCGTAATATGATACCATTCTAGCATTGCAGGTACTCTCTCTGCTGCTAAAATGGTATCCTATTAATTTAATATATATTCATAGCTGCTTGTCGGCAGTCAAAGAATACTACGCATTCATCTCCCTGTAGCTGATGGACTTCAGTCCAAATATTCAGGCATCAAACTTCGGACTGCGCCTGTAGACCCTGAAATGCACTTACCTCCTCTAAGTTCTCAGTTAATTTCAGAGGAAATTAAAAGGCAACGATTACTAAACCGGAGTATTTACCAGAAAGCACACGGAGAATGCTAGGAGAGCAACTGAAAAACTAAAGCTCTCACAGCTGTGTCCTGCAGCGGCAAAATATCAGCAGAACACGCGCGTCTGGGGGTTTTATCGAGTACCTGCGCTGCTAGAACGGTGTCCTATAACCCTAAAAGTAAAAACTACGTAAATCCGAATAGAGGTGCGCTCACCTAGCAAATCATAAGGACTCGGTTAGACAGCAAGATTATGATTTTGAAGAAAGATTCCAGAGTTCCGTAACATATGTTTCAGGGACACTTGGATGAACACTGTTGGCGTGTTTTGAAAGGAGATGAAGACCATTTCGTGACAATGCCATGCGATATTAAAGAAGTATTTGTCACTTAATTGTTGTTATTCAATCCAAATTTAATTTTCACAATAGGGCAGCGCATTTGAAATCTGATTTTTTCCCTCTGACCAGAAACAACTAGGGTAGGAATCACGATTTAGTAGCACCGAACAATCCTATTCTCAAACTTTGGGTGAAATCGAGACGGTCCCATGGACCGGGGAGTTGCTTGGTGACTGTAGTTGTATTCTGCTTGGGTAGGGGGTTAATAAAGTTCGTTGAAAGTGAGCGATTTATTTCTACATGTCTATCTTGTCTATTATCTCTTTTACTGATTGGAGATTGAGGTTGATTACATGTAAAAATCGTCCAATCGACGGCCAATTATATGATTTCTCTGACAAAGGCTTGGGGCTGGGCGCAGAAGCATGGAACCCCTTATGTACAAGTGAATTTTTCCTAAACTTCATTCGGATAGATTAACAGTTATGACTAGGGTTTTAAGGTTAACAGTTATGGGGGTAAAGTTAGGGCTAGTAATACTGTTAGGGTTAAAGTTGGAACACGGAAAAAGGAACTCTGCAATTTATTGCGAGGCCACATGTAGCATAAGGGAACCATATCCTCGTGTCCGACTGAGGATTTCCTTATTCCAAGCTGAGTAGCTGCCATAAAAATCTGAAGAAGATGAGCTTGACGTACATACTCATTAACAGGTTCACATGCATACTGCGCTAAATTTAAGTAGTGAGTGCACTCAGGCCGCCACACTTTAGGAGAGAAGGAAAAAGGTTACAGTGGAAAGCTTATCGTCTGTGGTGGTGGTGTTGGTGGCGGTGGCGGTGGTGTTGGTGGTGGTGGTGGTGGGGACGGTGGTGGTGGTGGTGGTGGTGGTGGTGGTGGTAGTGGTGGTGGTGGTGGTGATCAGCTCCCCAACACTCTGGAGGGAGAGATAAGCCGACAGCGTGGCCTGAACCTGTCAGCACATCCCCGCTAAGCCACAGATTAGGACGGTCAACTTAGTGCGGAAAGGCGATCTTGCCCCCCCCCCACCCGCCGACCACCGCATACATCCCACCAACGGACAGAGTCTGCAGCGGCACAAGATCGGCGAAACACGCGTGTCTGGGCTTTTAGCTAATACCTGTGTTGTTAGTACGGTAAATTATTGCACAGAGTCTGCTTCTTTATCCCACTCTACAGTCGTAAACCTCTAAGGACCGAGAGCAAGCTAGCTTTTGGGGCTTCCGTTTTGAGTTGATTTTATTTAGGTTTCTCCTTCCTCCGGCACGGCCTAGAATAAAACCATCTGTCATTATGGGTCAGCCGGCCATGTTCAGCGCATTTGCATGGAAGTCTGAGGCCAGCAGATGCTTACCATAAAAAAGCTCACTTATCAAAATACACCGCAGATGGAACCCATAAAAAATAGGGATTTAACTAATGAAAATTGATGTCGATTATTGCGCCAACGCATGCCAGATGTCCTAAAAAACAGTATAACTGAAAAAGGATGATATTTTTCGCCCTCTTCAGTCTAAAGTCAAGTGAAAAAAGTGATGCATAATCCCATTTAACCAACTTTCAAAGCGACGTTGGAGGTAGTTATTTGCTCAGTACGGTGGCACAGCATTTTAAAGATTTTCCTACTATCCAAACAGCTATTCTGCCACTTACCAGCACATATTTCGGTAGAACTGACTTCTGTGGCTCCCCAAACAGGATATGGGGGTAGGAACGTCTCGCCCAGGCAAGAAAGGTGGATCTGCGCATAATTCCGGAAGGGAAAATTATTCCCGCGTCCTAACCTTAACAATAACACTTATATAAAACTGAACCGTTGTCCTAATCTTGGCGTTAACCCTGCCATAAATCTTAACTCTACTGTCAACACTAATCCCTACCTGAGCCACAATTGGGGTTCTGACTTAACTTACTGTTAACTTTGAATCTTACCTTTCAGCTATTCGTTATTTCTAACCCTAAACGTAAATCTAAAACTAATTTCCCTGAAAGTTGTCTCAAGGCCACCCGTATTGCAGGTGGTTCCCATTTCGTGTCCTGTTTAGGGAGCCGTATATACCAGTCCCACCGACCAGCATATCTAAGCGATTTTTTTCCTATGAGTTTTGATTTTATTTGATAAATCGTGTATTTGAACAATACTCCAATCATTTTGAGCAATAATTTCAGGAGTATTGCAATGGCTTTAATTTGCTTATTTCTGAGGAGGCCGGATGAATAAGTGAAAATTTCTAAAAAGGGGTCGGAAACTTATTTTTCGTAAGGTTTCTGAACATAGTTGCCCTTAAGTATAATATTGAGCTTAAGTAACTTCATTCAAACATGGCACCGAAAAACAAAAACCTGGTTTGGCTTCATCCACTTTCTCCTCAAATAAAAATATCGCTAACTCCTGGTCGAGGCACAAAATAGTATGAAACAAAATCCTATGATAATTTACTCGCACTGACCTCCACCTAAAAATCGTGTCGTCGATGTGTAAGTTAAGTGTGACTGCGGCAAAGGAAGTTAAAAAGGCAGGACTGACTCAAATGGCCCCCTGAACAGGACAGTGTAACAAGCACGCCTTTAACTGAATGGGAGATATTTCAGTACTTAGATGGTCAATCTCTGGTGCATTTGCAACCGTATAGAGAAGAAAGCAGGTAAGCAATGACAGTGAAAATTGTTCAAAAATCAAGATAAGAATGTGTTCATTCGTCTCGCAAAATAATTGTCAGCGTTATCCAAAAAATTGCATACATGGGCGAGATTGTTTACTTTCGACCTTATCATTGACTTAGAAAGTGAAATACTTAGATATTAATCATAAAATCATCTTATTTAAGAGCTTCATAACGGTATAATTTATTAGATAATGGTTTCAACTAACCAAGGGCAAGTTCAACGCGTATTTTTGTTTCGGACATTTATCTTTCCTAGAGAATGAGTTTCATGTTTGGGTTGCCCACCAAAAATTCCTTACACTGATGGACAGTATATGCAGAATCCATCTTTTTAAACAGCCCATTGATAATAGCCGAAAGCTTAGACATTCACTGACGGTTCACGGTCACCCTGAAACTCAAAGAACTCCACACACACCAAAAGCCAAACATTCAGAAGTTTGATTTATGCACAGAAAATGGTATGCTGAGATTGCCTCTGATGGTTTTTTTCGGATTTTTCAGACACTCGACGACATCTCGACATGTGACCGTGTGAAAACTTTGTAATATTATGTCCCTATCAGCAAAATCAAACAAACTCTACTTCGACTTGGTTAACCACACCCTAACAGGGTCGAAACGAAAAATCACAACGAATTTTCCTAACGCCACTTTGGGAAACATTTCGAACTTTAAACAATTATTTAACAGCCGTGCTTAATATTACACTAATTCTTAGGGGTTAAATAAACTCATTTTTAACGCCATTATGCCTGGATCTATTTATTTATGTAGATGTTTGCGCACGCTCCCTTAGGTGCTTCTGATAATTAAAATAACTTGTTTGACAAAAATATCTGGAATTTCGGTATTTCCGATTTCTTTAACCTTCCTGTTTCTGGTCAGCGGAGTATTAATTTGAATATCTCTTTTGTGTATTCGTTTAACTGAAGGTCAATTATTATAAGTTGTGTATTCTAGCCGATGACTTTGGGCTGATTTCTCACTGATTGGGCAGTTTTCTTTAATATACGCTAATTTTACGAAGTACGTCCTTCACGTTCGCTACGATAACGTCTTTTTTAAGATAACTTTGCGATTCCCGTTTTCAGTGCTCTTCTCGCCGACGGCAGTCGCTTGCCTTGCGTTACGCATGTTTATTGCTCGATGCTTACGCATATAAGTCGGCTGTCGGCTTGTTAGCCCATCCATAAGTGCTTTGCTGCTTAGACTTCTAGCTTCATTTTCTTACCTCTTCAACATCTATCACCTTCAGTTGCTTCAGCTTCCACAAAGACAGCATGAAATAAATTGGTATATGCACAGCATGTTGATTAGGAATATTTAACAATAATTTACCATGTACAACAGTCGATCCATTTCACCGGGTGGGAGGTTGCTGCACCGAACTGGTCTCCGCAACATGACGAAGGAAGGTTGCCAAGTTTCCTTGAGACTGGCTGTGTTTACGCGAAGCCATAGGAGAAAATGGACTTCGTTTACACGGACTAATATGGCTCAGAATGACATTGGCCCTCCGTCATGGAGTATTCGTTTTAGCCGACTCCATTATGCTTCAATGACATTGGTATACTTTCTGGTCGACAAAGTTGGTCGGGTAATTTGTCGTGGGATAATTTTATCTTCCGGAGGGTAGGCGTTTGCAACCTTTGCATTCATCGGGCACGATACCGTCTCCTTTGGAAACCCATTTAGAGATTACTCCCCACAGTGTCTGCCATCCTCCTTCAAAGAGCGTCATCTTTTATTTGGTATCGCATATACCAAGAGTCTGCATAGTTGATCAGAAGAAGAAGCGATCGCTGGAACAATGGCTTTATTCCCCTGACGTTTCGGATTCTCTCTTGAATCCATCATCAGAGACAGTTGCAGAAAAGGGTGGCAAGTGTACAGGAAGTCGCAGAACCTATAGGATGCGGTCGCCATGCTACCGCATACCTACAGCAATTAACCGTAATCCCATCATCAAGGATTGTTGCCCGCTGGTGCGCTAATTGCTTGATGATGATGGATTCAAGAGAGAATCCGAAACGTCAGGCGAATAAAGCCCTTGTTCCAGAGATCGCTTCTTCTTCTGATCAACTAGTTCCTGGAACTCGCATTTTCGCTTGTATCGGCAATTTGTTTGGGCACGACGCGCTCCGATCGGCCCGACGATGGGAAACTTTCGCCCTTCGAGAGGCCTCTACTTACGCGCAGATCCGGTTTCTGCACAGGTGTCTCGATAACAACGTGTTGCCGAAATGTGTTTCATACAAACCTCCGGTAAACACGGAGCTAGCGAGACGCGCAGTATTTCAGCACGGAAGACGTATGATCCGCGTGCTCCTTCAAGATTGCCATGCGAGACTACGCAAATACCGTCAGAGAATTGACCAAGAAAAGGCCAGATGCTGCGAGTTCATGGGCGAGAACGGCACAAATCTGCTTCAGCAGAAAGTGACTGAACGAGCCCGCGAGCAGAGAGCGACACGCGATGCAGCACTGGGGAACAAATTCCACAAACTGCCTGATCCAACGTCATCCAGAAGCGGCACACTGGTACACAACCTGTCGTCAAAGGAACCGACGAAGGAGCAAGCACAGGTTTTACGGCACGAAGCCTCATTCAACACAGCTGACGCCAAACCTGTCAACATGATTGCAGCAGTGGAATCGGTCATTAATCAGACGGAAGCGGCGGAGGAGACGAAGAACCTTATCCGACACCAAGTTACGTCCCTCATTATGACTCACAAGCCGCGCGAAACACTCACAAAGGTCGAACGCGATGCACTAAGAGAACTCAAGGCCGACAAGGACATCGTCATTGTGCCCGCGGACAAGGGGCGTTCCACCGTCGTACTGGACAGAACAGACTACCTTCAGAAGGCCAAAAACCTACTGGAGGATCGCCGGTTCTATGTCCCATGTGAAACCAACCCCATAAAAAACGCTGACACGCGAAATTAATGCAACATTGTTGGCACTGGAGAACTCGGGTGCAATAACAGCGACCGACCGACGCATGGCGAGAGCCCAAGAAACGGCTTTGGCCCGATTCTATGGTCTCCCAAAGGTGCACAAGGCGGGCGCTCCTCTCCGGCCCATTGTTTCGCTCAAAGGCACTCCAACGTACGGACTGGCAAGATGGCTGTTTCGGCGCCTCAAATTTCTGACCGCTGATTCGGACACCACGGTCTGTTCGTCAACGCAATTCCTAGAGAAGCTTAAAGGAGTAAGTCTCTTGCCCAATGAGGTCATGGTATCTTTTGATGTCACGTCCCTCTTTACTTCTATCCCCCAGGATCTGGCAATCGAGACC